TTGGACCGGCCATTAGAGACATGGTAGGCTCGCCTTCTCAAGGCATGGGAAAAGGGCACCCAAAATATATCGCCCCGGCCAAGTATGACATTTTAAAAATAATTATCTATTAATCTTTTTTTTTTCATGGCAATGCGAGAGATGCAGTGTCACCTACCCACGATTAGCCCACTTGGACTGTAAAGTTCCGACCTCGCTGATAACATGCAAATGAATGTAGTTGATGTAATTATATAATTAATAAACACCGCTTTATGTGTATATACTTGCAGCTAGTAGGTGGCGTAGGCAGGTTTTATGGCACTTGAATGCAAACAAATTAGGCATTTGACATGTTAAATGAATTCTTATATACAGTCTGTATGCATACATACATCACAAAATGTGTATTTATGCAACTCATAAATATTTGGTAACTTAATTTATTCCAGACATTTTCCTCCGGAATGGGCACTTTGAATTTTCTATATAATTCGTTCGGTTGTTGTGGTGGTATTGGGGGGGGGGGGGGGGTAAACTTAAAACTTTACTTTTCATTTAAAACTTTTCGTATAGTAAATTAATGTTTGTTTTTTCCAAAGAACACTCAGTTGTTGCAACTATTTATGATTCAAGCCACTGTTCGCCTATCTACATTTCTCTTTTTTTTAATCAAGAATTGTGGGTAGGTAAAAATAACTTTTTGACATTTTGGGTTGCAACTCGATTACAACACCCCTCTCCCCCACTCCCCCCCCCCCCCCCTCCTCCCAATCCCGAATTTCTCTGCTCACCTGCCTTGCGATAATAATCAATGATCATTTCCGTAGTAGATTCAATGTTTTCGGCTCTGCCATATATAGCTAACTATATTTCTCAATTAGGGTTGTCAACACGTCACATAATTGAAAGTTAATTAACATAAATGATCACATTCTATTTGGGTCTGTGTAAGAATGTAATATTTTCGTGGTGATATTTTATAACTATAAAGTATTAACAACTCTAATTTTAAAAATCTATTTTTTAAAATTATCTTTGTTATCTTTGTTAGAACTTAATGCCAGAATTGTCTCACCTCCCGTAAGAGTCAAACTGGAATTGACTAAAAACTGTTTTGTTTCACAAAGCTAACTTATCTTTTAATATCCATATGTCTATTCTCCCACATAATATAGTATATACGTATTCCATTGTCTAATATTACAAAATATCCAGGACTTTTAATGAACAATTACACGTACCCCCCCCCCCCAATCACATACACTAAGACACCTCAACATACAGAAGAAAAAACAATTCAATTATTAGCTCTGAAAAAACAAATCTTAAAATTGAAATCTTCGACTAGGCCACAAAAGCCTGACTTAATGGAATACAGTTATTTTGACACATCAATAAGAGAAAAGGATGAATGACGTTTTGACAGAAGGCAGGTGCGCCGAGAAAAGTTTCAACCATTTTAGTTGTCAAAAAATGGCAGGGTCATGTTTCAAGGTAGGGGGGAAAAGGTGAGTTTTAATACAGCTGTGGCGAGAGGGTGTGTGTGGGGGGGGGGGGGAGTGAGGAGGATTATAATGCATAGTGTTGATACACATAAACATAATGAAGCAATGTGCAATATATTGATATACTACAAGTGACTCGACAGGCCAAGACTAAGTGTTGACTTAAGGGAAAATATTTGTTTAATAAACTATATTATATACGTTAGTGAATCGAGATTGATTAGACTGACTAAATTTAAATATAAAAAACAGTGTATTGTTCTAAAACTATTTCAAACCTAATGGTATCTAGAAAAACAAGCTAAAAATATCACTACACAAAGTTTCTTTTAAAGCAGGTGAATGTATCTTACATGGGACACTGGGTAAAATGGAGGGGAGGGGGTGGGGGGAGCAGGTCTACCTTTTAATATCAACACGGCACTGAACATGTTTTCTTAACCTGGTTTCTGCTCGACAATGGCCGTTAACGTGTTCTTCACTGGCCATTGGTGTCGAGTCCTGTTGGCGAGGCAATGCCTACATTACATTTCACAGCCCTCCCCCTTAATGGCGCTGCCTTTTCGCTTTGTAACGCATTCCTCGATTGTACTGTCATTCACATTCAACAACAACAGGTGAGCCTAGAGCTCTAGCCTGCGGTTGACCCCAGGCCAGCCGGTGGGGGGGGGGGGGGGGGGGTGGTGGTGGTAACGATACAGCTTGCCTGTGGTCAGATATGTACCTTTTCAAGGTTGTCCTGCTTGACTGCACATAAATTACCTAGTCGTCTCGTGGCGCCATTTTTTAACGAAATTTTATATCCTTCTTTGAAATGCCCCCCCCCCCCCCCCCCGACCGCCTCTCCAGGTGACTGCTATCAAAACCCATTCACGGTAAAAATAAATAAATAAATATCACACTCCTCTTAACGAAACGAAGAGCTGAAAAAAAAATTGTTTGAACGATTTTATTGACTAATTTAAACAATGTTACACTTTAGCATTAAAAGACTTTAACATAAACAAAATAGCCGAATACCGCATTTAAGTTTGAAAGCTAAAAGCCCAATCAAAGGGTAATAACTCCGAGCGTGTAAAAAAAAAAAAAGTTTCGTTCGTAGCAGCATCATTTGTTACCTGGAAGAACGGCGGTGTATGTCTTGATTTCGCAATAAGCTGAAAAACGATCCCCCTCTTCCCAAAGGAATCGCTTCAAGCACTTAAATTTTTTTTAAACAACCATTTGATCTGTTAGCGCGGTAACTCTTCGCCATACGAAGAAATATTTCTCAAGGCGTTGAAGATTTTTGTCGCGGCCCACACAACATCTGAAGTTGACGCAAAAAAAAAAAAAAAAAAAAAAAAAAAAAATGACAAAACTGATATTTTTTTTCACGGCCAAACACAACAACAACACAAATTTACAACTTTTTGACGTGCGAGGCAAAAAAAAAAATACAAGTTTTCTTTATCCTGATTATATGACATCTTTTATTGTAATCGCATGTCAGGAGACCAGAGCTCACACTGAAGTGGGTGGGCCTAAACGAAGCTCGTGTTTCCCTCCCTTGCAATGCACCTGACGGAAAGATTGTTTTGAAACTAGCGTCACGGTCGCTGATACTCTTTGTAAACTAAAAGCTGGGTTAAAACGCACCGACTTGCACTGATGCAACTCGTTTCTTCTGGATTTTTTTCCCTCATTTTTTTTTAAAGTATAAAAATACAGTGTTAGGGTGAGAGGGAAAAGCAAACTATCTTGATCTTTTCTGTCGAAATTTTTTTTTTGGTAACATTCGTTATAAAAGATGTTGCAGCTAATATTGAGTAAATGGGACGTGAAATGAGAGTGTTTTAAAATTTGCTCAGGCCCATAAACATAGACATCCCACCATCATTCGCACCACACACATTTTTCTTTGTATTTCATTAAAGTATCCCCCACCCCCCTTCGCCCACACACATTATGTTAAAGATTAAATCGGTATATTTTATTCTTCAAAATGTTAACAAAACAATAAAACTGAAACAAATTATAACGCAGTAGTTTTACGATAAAACTTGACATGACGATATAAACGCGGCTTACTCGGTTGTAAACTAATACAACATGCCCAGACACTCACCTGACCACGAAGCACCCCCCCCCCCCTCCTCCCTCCCCCACCCCACTCCTCTCTGCACCGTCCACACTTAGTACACTACATACCGTGAAATTTTTTCCCCCCGGCGTGGCACATGGTATTAATTTACCTTCACCAGAATTTACTACACGCACCTTATAATACAATAGTACCTGCCCAACACAATGGTATCTCCAACACACGTACATGCGGCACCGCACCCATCATGCCAGGTTTTTTACCCTCTTTAATCTTTCGCCAGCAGGAAACTGTTCATAAAGAAATTTTAGTTTTCCTTTTTTTTCTCCTTTTTTTTTGTTGTTGTTTAAATCCGTTTCTTAGTGAAAATACATTTTAAAATGATTTATTAACATATTTTAAATTTCATTAATAAAATACATCATACTTATTAGGCAAAACGGGAAAACACCCTATTCTATTTTATATTTATAAAACATTGATTGCTATGGAAACAATAAGCCTTTACAAACCACACCCTTTTGAGTTCTATAAAGGACAAAACAGAATCCATAACCTATAACGCACGTAAAAAATATATGAACTGATGCAAATATTCAACACCAATATAAAAGTATCAATTCATACAACCAATTGTTTTACTTGAAGCCTATGCTATCGGATTACTCAACCAAAAATAAATAATTCATATTCAAAACATCGATTTGTATTAATAACAAATTTTTTAAAATAAAATGTTGCATAAAAATTGATATATCACTAATATATATATATATATATATATATATATATATATATATATATATATATATATATATATATATATATATATATATATATATATATATATATATATATATATATATATATATAAACTGTTTTTCTTATCTGAATTTAACAAAATACAAATTTAAAATGCGCTTATTACAATATTAGACTAACCTGCATTTTCCAATAGAAGTTAAGAAGCCTGAAGGAAAGTATTTCTCTATAGTATAGAACAGTACAAAAATGGTGATTTTATGTATTTATCTTTCCTCTGTGTAAAGGTGTAGGGTTGGCACGCCGTCACATTATTAGCAGCACTGACTGGAGAGAAAAAAAATTCACCGCTAGTGATATCAAATCTGATTCCAGCCAAAGCATACCGTACATATGGAAAAGTTCACAACAGTAGGGGTGCCAGCAATTATAAAAATCTAATTATAAAATGTTAAAAATACTGTTAAATAAAATAAAAAAATATCCTACATTCACTGACAAAAATGTGTAATTTATGAAATTCATGATGTTGGATATAGATTTTGATTTTTCACTCAATCAACATGTTTAAAGCTAAAAGTGTTTTAAAAATTCGTAATGTTAGCCTAGATGCAGTAAATTAAAACAACAATGCTCCCGCTACGATTTCCTGGTGATATTTTAATGTTGTTTCCCCCATGATGCTAAGCAAGATGGCGGCGCTCTTTAGTTTCGTTTTCGCATAACACAGATATAAATTTAGTTGTTTAAGAGTACAGTTGTTATTGAAGCATTGAAACTTAATTAAACCTGTGCTCCGAACCTAAAACTTTTGAGGTAATCATAATATTTTAAAGTGTTAACTTATATTGTCTAAGATTTTATATTAAATAAGAATAAACTCTTAATTTTTTTTTGTGTGAACGCAAACGACACTGGCACGAACGAACGATGTCGATTGACACTATTGACAGTGACAGTGTGACACCGATTGTTGTTGACGTCTGAATTAGAAATCTAGATCTAGATTTCTAGAATCTAGATTTCTAGATTAAGAATCTTATAGATCTAAATTCTAGATCTAAAGTCTAGTCTAGATCCGAAAATGCTAGATCTAGAATCTAGAAATCTAGATATCTAGATTCTACTCTCCTGAATTATGAATGATGATGATAGGTTCTATCATTTTATTTGTTATTATAATATTAAATTATTTGTATTAGCCTAAAATAAATAATATTATAATTTATTAATTCGGTCTATTTATTACATTTATGAATTATTATTTTGAAGTGACTAGGCCTACTTGGAAAATATTTTTTCAACAGAAGATACGAAACTCAATAGTTCTGCACACACACAGTGACCTTAATAGCTTTGAGAGTTCGGTTAGGATAAGGCAAGGGATAGGGTTAGGGTTCTGCGGCTTGTTTGTAAACACACGCACGCGCATTACCATCAAAAACATCACAGCGAATGAAGGCGGTAGTTTCACTCCATTGCGCATGTGTATCTTTTTCCAGCTAGAATCTGTGCCTTATTACTATTATATTCATTCATTATTATTAATAATGTTGACATGGAAAAACGTAAGACTAAAACAATTTAAGACATATAGGTAAGGGAGGCCTATGGCTAGGCCTAATATTTTAGGCCGATTTTAGCCGGAAAAAGATACGCAGAACCCTAGCTCTAATCCAAATCCTAACCATAACCCTAGCTCAGCTATTATAGCTATTAAGATCACTGCGCATGCGCAGAACTATCTTATGCCGACCAAGTGGAGACACTGGGGCGAAAAATCTTTTTCCGAGTAGTCACTTCGTATATTTTAAATTTAAAAAAATCAATGGCGTCATTAACAAAAAGCTGCAAATGCAGAGAGCATGATAACAAAAATTATGGAGTTAAGGCCTACTTTCTAGATCAAGTAAAGTACGTTGAGAATAAGTTTCTTATTCTTTAGATAAATCCGTAGGTGAGTAGGCCTAAAACTACAAATAAATTTCCATAGTAAATTTCAGTTAAAGCCTATAATTTAGCAATGGTTTAATAATTTTCCTAAGCTATCAAATAGGCCTATAAATACTTCCTGGGCAGTATGTTTTTAAAGTTTAAAGTATTGCATCAGCTTTTTCTAATATATTGTTACTGTTATAAAAATATTACTTTACTCATTTAGCCTTTAGGCCTACTGCGCCTATGCTGTATTTTTTTATAATTGGTTTGTTTATGTCCCCAATATACATGAAAACCAAATTGTTTTTGTCTTTTAAAAAAATTTGTTTGTTTACAGAAGTTGTTAAAACTGTTAATACATTTATCAGATCTTAAATTAAGTCAGATAAAAACCAAAACAATCCAGTTTTTACAACCTCGTTTATTTTAAAAACGTTGCACTGATTTTAAAATATTAAATAAACCATTCCATACTATTCTTGTTTGAGCTACTATCTATTCTGTTGCTACTAAGTTTTAGTTTTTTAGTGAAATAATAATGAATAACTTGAAGTTTCATGTAGATTTTACTTAACAAAAACTAAAAGAATGTTGTTGATAAAGCACTAAACTGGTCTAGGCTGGTGTATAGATAACTATATAGATCTAGTCTAGATCTAATTACTTTACACAATGTACATCTTGGTTTTTTTTATAGAACTAGTAAAAAATAATCTATAAAAATCTAGATGCTAGAGTATCTATTATCTACATCAGGGGTCTCCAAACTTTTTAGTTCGAGGGCCGCATTAACTATCAAATTTCAGTTCGGGGGCCAGTTAATTAATTCCAAACATGTCTTTGATTTTTCTGGGCAAAGTACCTCAGCCATCACCAACAAACGTTTTTTCAGTGGACAGAAAGATCGCAGCGGGCCGGATGAGAGGACCTCGCGGGCTGCATCCGGCCCGCGGGCCGTAGTTTGGAGACCCCTGATCTAGATTATAGTGGAATTTGTCTTAAGTAACTCTAGCTCACTGCTAGAGTTAGAGTTAATGTCAAGATTAGTGTCTAAATTAACCATCAAATGACTCTGATGACTAATAGAAATAAATAATGATTTACTAGATTATATTTTATATTTAGTATCTCTTGAGTTTATTGTACATTTGGAGCGTGAGATCCTATCTAACCTCTTTCATTTAATAATATTTAAATATTTAACCTAAGATTATTCATATTCATTTTAAGTAAGCTACAAGCCAATTGAATCAAGTTCGTTTTGTGATTTACCTTTCATTAGAACAATATTTTTATGTCTCTTAACGGATTTTGTACGATTTTATAAATTTAATAGATCTAGATTCGATTCCGTTACTAAAAACACATTTTATGTCAGCGGATATCAACAATATATACATTTTTTTTACACATCTAACTGCTATAGCAAGCCAACCAATCAAACTTAGTTAAACCTTTTTTTTTGTTACCATCTGTAGTGTTTCTTTTGTCTCAATGTTTTTTGTTTTGAATCAATTATAAAAAGTAGAAGGAATTTGTTATTGATACAATGCAAGATGTGAAAATTAAAATGGCTAAACGAGAAGGTGTCAGAATATTTTTGTAAATTGAGTTTCAATTTTAGCTGTCAGATTGATATCACCTTGTACCATCTTATAAAGTGTTAACAAAAGATTTAGAACAAGAAACAATTTATAAAATAATGCTAATTAGGGCTAATAAAGAAAGGAAAGCTGATGAACTCAATGACTGTGTGATGTTGTATGTGAATATGATGTGATTTTATTTTTTGCTTAAGTAAAATTGAACTACCTTGTTTTAAATTAAAAAGGAACACATAAGGACAACCAGAACAAGTGTTCAAAAGAAATGTTTTAGTTCTAATAAATAGTTAAACCTTGTGGGTTCTATTAAAAACAATGGTGACATCAATCCATGCTACATGTCATTGTATGTAACAAACAAGTTTAAAAAAAATAATTAAAAAGAACCAAATGTTGATTATTTTCTAGTTTAAAAAAATTTCATGAATGAGCCTTAACGTTTATAGGCTTCTTGGCTAAATTCCTTTACTCTAGTATTTAAATTATTTGTAAAAGTGAATCAGATAATTTGAATTATTTCTTAATTTAGGTAAAAAAAAAGTCCACATTTTTTATGAACCTTTTATTGATGCAATTTGAATTAATAAGTGTTTAGTGAGGCTAGCAGTGTGGACTCCTCACCTCCTGTGAACACTTCCCTATCTTACAATAGCTCTGTTTTCAAATCTAGTTGAACGTAACTAAAACAAGTATCTCTTGTGAAGAAATCCTGGAATTAATCTTTTCAGAGCACAGTAATTGATGTTACTCCCTAGTAGGTAACAAGTGTCTACTGTGAACGAATTCTGGAATTAATCTTTTCAGAGCCCAGTAATTGATGTTACTCCCTTGTAGGTAACAAGTGTCTCTTGTGAACGAATTCTGGAATTAATCTTTTCAGAGCCCAGTAATTGATGTTACTCCCTTGTAGGTAACAAGTGTCTCTTGTGAACGAATTCTGGAATTAATCTTTTCAGAGCCCAGTAATTGATGTTACTCCCTTGTAGGTAACAAGTGTCTCTTGTGAACGAATTCTGGAATTAATCTTTTCAGAGCCCAGTAATTGATGTTACTCCCTTGTAGGTAACAAGTGTCTCTTGTGAACGAATTCTGGAATTAATCTTTTCAGAGCCCAGTAATTGATGTTACTCCCTTGTAGGTAACAAGTGTCTCTTGTGAACGAATTCTGGAATTAATCTTTTCAGAGCCCAGTAATTGATGTTACACCCTTGTAGGTAACAAGTGTCTCTTGTGAACGAATTCTGGAATTAATCTTTTCAGAGCCCAGTAATTGATGTTACTCCCTAGTAGGTTAGCAAAATTTGAAGCGACGGATGAAAACACACAATTTTATGCCAAGAAAAAACTGATTCACATCTGTCTGCAATTTTAAACTACGAGAAATTGCCCGGTGAGGGAGAAAAATATGGGGCGCTAGGTTGTTGACAACATCACACAGTAATTGAGTCTCTAAACCGAAACCAAAATCGCTGTCTCAACTTCAAATGTAACCTGGAAACAAAAACTGTCACTGAAAACAGATTTTTATCCAGAATTGTATTTAATCTTGATCTACATGTTGTTACTGCACATTAGTCGTAGTCATGCCCCTAAACCTTGCACATAAGCCCAAACCTGACAAAAGTCACATTTAGAGATTCTATAAGGCGACTCTACTTTCCCCAGAAAGTTTTAGTCCACCCCAACCTATGTTCTCTCTAAGCTGCGCTGCCATAGTTTTAACTGCCCACAGACTTTTTGTAAAAAAAACAAATATCTTTGTATAAGACTTTCAGCGAACACAAAATGCACGTTCCCCATAGAGGGAACGTTGCCCCAAAACCTGAAAATTTCAAGTACCCCTCCTACCTCCTTGGAGGAAAATGTCTGAAAGAACCACTGTTTTCATTTCCTACTTTTGGCCGCTACATCGCAAACATGATGATAGTGTTGCTTTCAGACTTTTTTTCTCCTGGCGGTGGGGGGGGGGGGGCGGATTAAATTCACTGGCAAGGGGGGGGGGCTGACACTGGTAGAACTTTATATATTTTCTATGTCAGTTTATTTCATTCGAGGGAGTGTAGGTGTTCTTTGTCGGAAGGGGCAGCAGAGATGACTGCATGCAGACCCCTTTTAAGGTTAGACATATTAATGAGGTGGTAATGTTAGTGTCCTTATTATCAAGTACCGATGACATCATTATTATTGTGTATTTTTTTTTGGAGCAATTGGTTTTTAATTCTATGTTTGCTCTAGAATCAATGATGTCACATTATTGTGTGTACTTTTCCGACTTTAGAATATTTCCTACTGTATGTTCCATGTGACGTCATGTTTCGTTTTCCATTTGACTGTGAAATTTTTTACGTTCCTGGTGTTTTCTGTTCAGTGTTACCAACAGATAGATAGACAACAGAGTGACAGAATAGTGAAACTATTATTATGGATTTATTAAATACATTGGTATTTGTTATAGTAAAATACATAAGAAATACAAAGTGAACATAACCTTAGGGTGTTTTTTTTTAAAATAAACTTTTTTTTTTAATATCTCCAACTTATTTAGCAACTGCAATAAGTATTATGATTTTTTCTTTGTTCAGCACTTTTGAGGTCTAATGTTATGCTCTACCATTTGACTTCTTCATAAAGATGAAATTTACATTTCCCCCCTCACCCCAATATGGGTCTATGACGAATTTTTTCTTTAGAGTCATGGATGAGGTCAGTAGTTGTTTAATTGGAAACTGTAATTAGAACAGATTGATTGAAATGCAGGTTAACTTTCTGGGACACATAATTTTTATCTGTGTTCCTTATTTTTTAGATCTTTTGTACAAGAGGATAAGCACTGTTTCTTTCTTCTTCATTATTAATTGCAACAGTGATGGGGGATATCCTCCAACTCAATTAAATATTACTTATCAACATACTGTATGTGGCCTAGCGTTAGAGAGCTAGACTGCTAACCTGGAAGTCTTGAGTTCAAATCCGGCTCCAAGTCAGTAGAAAGTCCCAGAGTCCACACAGCTATGATGAGTACCCAACTCATAGTGCTAACCATGCTATCCCTCCATATGCAGAGGTCTTTGAAGCAGATGAACTTCTTCATCTGCCCCATGTGTCTTGGGCATGAATGTGAAATGATGATGATAATGTACTGTGTGGTCCATTGACTCTGACTTTAGTCTGCTTCCCTTTCCAACAATAGAGCTTTGCTTGATCAATTCTTTCCAACAAAAAAATTGTTTAAAAAATGTGGTTTCAACTACATTTTAAATTTTCTGTCATGTCTCCTTAAGTTGTAATTTTCTCAATATTCCACTTGAAATTTGTGCACTGATGTATGACTGACAGTATTCATTTCTGCCCCCAGCCTCCGTGCCAACGTTCCTTCTAAGGCTAAAAAAAAACATCGTGCGCAGTGTTCTAAAAGTCTTATAGATGGATATATGTAGTTTACAAAATGACTGTGCAGCAGCTTAGAGTTTACATTATGCACAACAAAATGTTTTATTTGATGATGGTATACTAAAAATAATCAAGACTATACATTCTGGAGACTTAATGCATTGGTTAATGAATGATTATTTAGACCTTAGTATCAATAACTTTTAATATGCCCTGCAGACAGTAAAAACTATACTTTAACAAAGTATTATGTGGTATCTAAATTATTTATATTGCAGCTATATAATAATAAACAATTAATTAAACAGGTTAGAATTGCATAAATTACAATTTACTGCTATTTTGAAATTTATATTCTACCGAGTTGTTAGGTCGAGACTGAATTATTCATAGTGTAGTCTGCTAGTATTTAATGATTTGAATAGATTACAACATCATACAATATGCTGTGCTCTCATTCTGAGTCTACTTAATGCAGTCAGAAAGTTTTTCACTGCTTGCATAAAATGCAAATATACAATTTCATACATGGATGCTAGACGCAACTACATAGCATATAGGCTACATCATGCAAAATCTGCTGTAGGTAATTCAATATTCACTTCTAATTATATGGGTGTTAATGTGAGATTAAGAATCTAAAATTATGAATTTGTATTCTGGTTTCACAATCTAAAGTTAACTATGAATTTAAAATTTCTTTCCTGATTATGTAATGTAATAATTTATTACCAGCTTTTTATACTGTTAGTTTTTGTCTGCGCAAAATCAATGATTGTCTGGCTTCTAACAATAAGAATAATTCAATTATAAAAATATTACTTTCAAAAACGTTGCTTAATAAAATCCCAACTGAAATGTTGATGTTATTAGTGGTTTTAAAGTGAGACATCAATTCATGTTTAAATTAATTATCATTGGAGGCAAAAATTCAATCGACGTTTTATTAGATTAGTGTCTGTTGTAGAATTAGCAGAGAATAAAATAGTCATTCATTAGTAGACAACATTAATGTTTATTGTTTTCTTTGATAAGAAAAAAGATACACTTTTTATGGTATGCACAATTGTTTTTGTTACTGTAATTGACCTTGTTGGTTAGTTTATTGTCTGACATCATATGTTTTTTCTCCTGGATAATTGCTAACTTGGTTAATTTTTTGTACTATTTCGTTATAGGGCTAGAGTCCTATGGTAGGCTACAGTTTATAAGGGTGTGCTAATTTTGCTGTACTTCTCATTTTACAAGGTTCTAATTTTTTATCACCTTTTTCTTTTTAAGGGTCATTTTTTTTTCTTAAAAAGGTAGTGTCTAGCATTTCTTTGTTCATCTCTTTAGTATAGTTCCTCTTTGCATTTTTTGGTACTTCTTTTTTTACTTTCTCGTATATACAAAGTATAGAGAAAGTCTTGTAATCGTGAAAAAAAAATCGAGATTATTACAAATCTCGACGTTTTACACCTCACTGATACGGAAAAACATAATTTTGCAATCTTGTCCATATGTCTGTGTGTCTGTCTGTCTGTCTGTCTGTCTGTCTGTCTGTCTGTGTGTAAACACGATAACTTGAGTACAGTTACAGCTAGGTTGATGAAATTTCATATATAAGTATTTTATCAAACTCGTAGATCCGTATCAACTTATGAGCGATTTCCGATAACCGGAAGTGGTACTTTTTCTACTTTGAATTTTGCGCACTATTATGCACATCTTTATTTGGCGTTCGCTTGGTGCGCAATTCTTTTTCTATGAGATTCTATTCTATTTTTAAAAGTTTAAGTAATTAAAAATCATGTCTATATTCCAAGTTATATAAGAATGTTCGAGAAAGTTTAGGGGAGATCACTCCCGGTTTATTGTTTATTATTTTTCCAAACTCTATGGTTGTAAGAGACTTTTTTTTTTACTCTTTCTTTTCCTTTTTTTTTTAAATTAAAAGATTTCTCAACCATAACCATGAATTCCTAATAATTCTAGTTCTAATAGCTTCTATAATCCTTGTCATAATCCATTGCCACTGGGTACAATATAATGAACCAGTACAAATGTCATTCTTTGTGTTGTGGAACGTGATTAGGCAACAGGTGACTTTTAAATTAAAACGTTGTAATGAGGTTTCCGGTTGCTTGATTTAAACAAGTGGATCTTAAAAACTTACGTGCAGTTAGTTATAGTTTAAAACTTATATTATAATATTTCTTTTGTTTGTTGTTTAATTTCCTACCTTATTAAGTCGTGAAAATTATTCTTAAATTACTTCATATAAATATTAATTAAACATACCTAATTGCCAAGAGAAATTATATTTACCTCTTCTGGTTGGTTGTCTCAGAAGGTGGCTCATGAGAGGCTATAAATAACTCATAATAAAGGGAGATAATTTTCTCTTTTGACTGATTGTCTGCTGCATATCTTGTAAATAGTCTGACATGGCTAGTGTGATTGTAAAAAAGTCGATTGGAACTGAAAGGGTTAATAACTGTCAATTATTTAGGTGGGGAGACAATTTTATACTGTTTGTTTTTATTGGTGGATTAGGAAATGGAAAGGGGAGGTGGGGGGGGGGGCGTTAAGTAGGGTGTATAATAAAAAGTTTTAAAAGAAAATTTAGGAAAAAAAACGGGTGATTGTTTGGCTTGATGGCCAATGTTACTTCTAGGCTGGCCGTGCAGTATGTAAACCAACAGGGCAGTCATCTTTATAAAATTCCTTTAGCCTTGTTTAGTATTTCATAGCTATACACACAAAACACAGATGCCACACAGGCTTAGAGGGTATATTGTTCATGGCTAGTTGTTTATGTTGGGTGGAGACAAGGTTATTTTGACCTCCAGAAGTGGACACAGTGGAATAGACTCAGTGGTGACTTTTGAGTGTGGGCAACATAGGATAGACTCAGTGGTGACATATGGAGGTGGACACAGTGGGATAGAGTCAGTGGTGACATCTGGAAGTGGACACAGTGGGATAGAGTTAGTGGTGACATCAGGTGGTGGACACAGTGGGATAGAGTTAGTGGTGACATCAGGTGGACACAGTGGGATAGAGTCAGTGGTGACATCAGGTGGACACAGTGGGATAGAGTCAGTGGTGACATCAGGTGGACACAGTGGGATAGAGTCAGTGGTGACATCAGATGGACACAGTAGGATAGAGTCAGTGGTGACATCTGGTGGACACAGTGGGATAGAGTCAGTGGTGACATCAGATGGACACAGTAGGATAGAGTCAGTGGTGACATCAGGTGGACACAGTGGGATAGAGTCAGTGGTGACATCAGATGGACACAGTAGGATAGAGTCAGTGGTGACATCTGGAAGTGGACACAGTGGGATAGAGTCAGTGGTGACATCAGGTGGACACAGTGGGATAGAGTCAGTGGTGACATCTGGAGGTGGACACAGTGGGATAGAGTCAGTGGTTACATCTGGTGGTGGACACAGTGGGATAGAGTCAGTGGTGACATCTGGAGGTGGACACAGTGGGATAGAGTCAGTGGTGACATCTGGAGGTGGACACAGTGGGATAGAGTCAGTGGTGACATCTGGAGGTGGACACAGTGGGATAGAGTCAGTGGTGACATCTGGAGGTGGACACAGTGGGATAGAGTTAGTGGTGACATCAGGTGGACACAGTGGGATAGAGTCAGTGGTGACATCTGGAGGTGGACACAGTGGGATAGAGTCAGTGGTGACATCTGGAAGTGGACACAGTGGGATAGAGTCAGTGGTGACATCTGGAGGTGGACACAGTGGGATAGAGTCAGTGGTGACATCAGGTGGACACAGTGGGATAGAGTCAGTGGTGACATCTGGAGGTGGACACAGTGGGATAGAGTCAGTGGTGACATCAGGTGGACACAGTGGGATAGAGTCAGTGGTGACATCTGGAGGTGGACACAGTGGGATAGAGTCAGTGGTGACATCTGAAAGTGGACACATTGGGATAGAGTCAGTGGTAACATCAGGTGGACACAGTGGGATAGAGTCATTGGTGACATCAGGTGGACACAGTGGGATAGAGTCAGTGGTGACATCTGGAAGTGGACACAGTGGGATAGAGTCAGTGGTGACATCTGAAAGTGGACACAGTGGGATAGAGTCAGTGGTGACATCTGGAAGTGGACACAGTGGGATAGAGTCAGTGGTGACATCTGAAAGTGGACACAGTGGGATAGAGTCAGTGGTGACATATGGTGGACACAGTGGGATAGAGTCAGTGGTGACATCTGAAAGTGGACACAGTGGGATAGAGTCAGTGGTGACATCTGAAAGTGGACACAGTGGGATAGAGTCAGTGGTGACATATGGTGGACACAGTGGGATAGAGTCAGTGGTGACATCTGAAAGTGGACACAGTGGGATAGAGTCAGTGGTGACATCTGAAAGTGGACACAGTGGGATAAACTCAGCGGTAACTGGACTCTATGGGACTTACCTAGATAAACTTGTGACATCATGACACAAAGTAGCAAACACCTAGACTACACTCTCTTTAGATTAGAGGTCCCAGTAGCACAGCGTGCCCATGTATGTGGTTATAATACAGACATATGTAATATACTGCTGTGCTTCTCCGATGTATTGGTGATATCTAGGACTGGAAAAAGTGAAAGTTGCCATTGAGAAGGTTCACGATTTAACCTTTGACAATAACCTTATCCCCCCACCCCCCCCCAAGCACACCCTGTACCACGTGTCCCACCTCGTCACATTAGATGTGGTAAACAAACTCCCATTGTTTTAATACTTAACATCTAAAAAATAAAATAAATCAAAATCGATATCACGAAAATCCATGTTTTTAATATCAAAACATAACCGCTGCCAAGAAAATTAGCACTTAATTTGCTAAATTAATTAACACACGCAGATAACACTGGTATTTGCACCAAATTAACATCGGTATAATTAGATCTAATTAAATTATCGTCATTACATTGTCTCGCCATTTTACTTTATTAATAGGAGATCTCATTAACTAGAATAAAGAAAGTGTATGTCACACAATGCACGGATTAATCTTTTCATCTAGCTTAGTCAGTTCTAATTACAGACCAAAATATCACATTAAACACATAAACTGATAAAAATACCCCCCAACCTGACGGATTTTAGAGAGAAAAAAAAATGCAATGCAAATCAATTAAGAGTTAAAATGTAATGAGATTGCAAGGGAGTTAACCGAACGGGGGATTCATAAATTGTTTTTCTAGCAACATTTTCTTATTTAAATATTATATATCTGCCCGATATATCTATATATCTATATCTATATCTATATATATATATATATATATATATATATATATATATATATATATATATATACATATATATATATATACGTTTCTTAAGTTGAAATAGCGAAGTAAATCAAGCTATACCCCTTCCCCCTTTCCAACCTCCCCACCCCCCAGACCAGTAGTGCAATAAAGATGTTCCGAGGGCGTTAGCAAGGAAAGATAAATCTCCTCATCTGGTCATTAAAAGCCCAAACAAATGATCTCCCCCCATGTCACCGAATGAAACAACAGCGGCTATCTGTGACGTGAACACGTGAAATTTATTTCATTGTCAGACCGTTCCGTGGCGGCGGGCCTCGAGACTCCGGCACTGCCGGCGAGATCGATAGTTTTAATTCAAGTAATAACACCAATGCCTACTTACGCCTGGGAGAGGATTGAACCAAACTGTAATTTGCAATTTCCTCCCCTCTGACTGAATAAAAAGAACCAATATATTTTAAAATGCACTCGAAAGAGGAAATCCTGTTATATTGTTATACCCACATTTCCTCCTTTTAGAGCACCCCCCCCCCACTCACTCTCCCTACCCGGTTATAAACGCGATTAAAAAAATACTTGAGATTGGAGAAAATCAAAATAATGATTTATGCAGAGTAGGGAAATATTGACGTTTTTACCTGAATCTCACTAATTTAATTACAAAAGCACCATTGAGTGCAGCGGGTTTTCTCCCCTTGTTTTTCAACTTGTACTTTGAATGTGTTTCTGATTTTCAAAACTTCATTATTTTTCATTGAAACTAATTTAGAATTGCCGGCGCGGGGAGAGTTTTCATTTTTTTTTTCAAAGTAAAAATGCATGTAATACAAAGTAGCTTTCTTGATGTTTTATTTTTTTCTTTTATATATACATATTTTTTACCCATTTTTTTACCCCGCCTGAGCTTTCATAATTATTGGACTTGTCAATTAGCTGATTAGAAGTTGAATGGCTTCAACTCTCATCGCAAACGCATTACTGTTGGCCCCTTTGTGCGTGTGTTTGTGTTGCGGTCAAGTCCATTTTTTTTTCTTCTTCTTCTTCACGACGCCTCCAGTGACGCGTGGCGCTAACTCTTGCTTCTTCATGCTCATTTAACGGAGCCAGACAAGTCGCGCCCGTGAGAAAGTTCCACTGTTTTTTTTTTCAATTGAAAAGGGTAAGGGAGGCACTGGGTGGGATTTAATGTATTCAAATTGCGATTAAAGTAATTTAACATGTTCCAATGGCGAGTTGAAAAACGGAAAGCGAGTTGGGTTTTTTTTTTTTTATTATTATGATTTCAAATGTATGTTGTTAATGGGAAAAGCCACTTGGTGCCGCCGTGAGGCGAGTACTCGGCAACCCCGTCGGTCGCAGAGCTGCACGAGTTCCAGGGTCGCTGTGTCCCATTCACGGGCCCAGGCTCCCCCTTTTTTTTTGTGTGTGTGGCGACTAATGCGTAAATAGAAATTGTTCATTTTGAGAATGATCAGCTAGCCCCCTTTGCACCGGGTGACAGAGGAATTCAATGTCCCCCCCCCCCCACAGTATCGATCCCTCGACAGACTTTTACTCACTCGTATCGATACCATCGTTGGATGGGAGAAACTCGACCAAGCACATATTTGTTTTAAATGAACAAACAAAGCGGAGCGAGAAGAGAGAGGGAAAAGAGAATTTTTTTTTTTATATTAGACGATAAAAAAAAATTAAATGGCTAGTGAAAGAGAAACTAATATCACAGCCATTTCTGTGCCAGAAAAAAAAAAGTATGCCATCCAATTAAAGAGATGCAATTTGTTGACTTAGAACAAAGGGGGAACTTGAATTTTAAAATCCCATTTACTCAGCGGTGTACTCGGGGAGGAACGAGGAATTTTTTTTTTAATTAAAAAAAAATGGACGATTGAAACAGGTGACATTTGAATAACGGTGATAATGTCGGCGGAAATTCACAAAGTATTGATTTTGATTTTAATTTGATGAGGAGAGCGGCGGAGAAAGAGGGGGGGGGGGTGGATTTGTAGAAAGGATTAATTGTAAAGGTGTCTGTGGGCACGGGCCCACCCATCCTCCCTCCGCTTTCAAGGGTAAGAGATTGAAGTGGCGTTCTTTGTTTAGTGATGTTTACTAAATAAAAAGACAGGTTGTGCAACATGATTTACGGCTTAGCCAGGGGTCGAGTCGGTGTGTGGGGAAATGATGAGGAGGGGGGGGGGTTGAACTTTTATTGTTTTAAACTCAACCAGGTACGCTTTTAGACTTTTACAGGTAAAATATCTTAGTAATTCTTGTGGAATAAAATTCTTGTTTAAAATACTCTAAAAAAAAACCCAGTCCTAAAATTGTTGTGTGGGTGTTTGCCACTTTGCTGTTCTGGAATACCAGGTGACCCTCTTACGAAATGTTGTTCGGCGTATCGATCCTTAACTTGAAACCTAGCCCTAACTCGTAACTTTCTATTTTAACCCCTGAATCGATACCACTTGAAAAGTATTGAAATACTCGATGACGCGAAACGTACCCCCGATCAATGATCGCGCGGTACCTTTAAAACGGCAAAAAGTAATAGTCTTTCTTATAAAAATTACAGCAAATTCATAAAGGTTTTTTTGTTGCTGTTGTTCAATCGATGTTGGTTTTATATTTCTAAAGCCTTCAACAATGAAGTTAGTTTGAAGGTCTATTGTGCAATGATGGACGGACACAAACAACAACCAAGGCTGAGTTTATCACCTTAATGCCGTAACCATCCCACCACGGATGGCTGCCCACGAAGCCCCCGTGTATCCTGTGAGGTATTGAAGCCCTAACTCCGCCGCCACGGATGGCCGGCGATGAAGCCTCATCGTGTCCCATGAGCCGTGAGCGTTCACCTAATCACGGTACAATTCCGGCCCGGGCGTGGAGTGTTTGCATCGAGCACTCCACGCCGGAGAGTGTAGTTGTGGGAAACCATCTTAAGGTATTACGCCCGTCTCTACCGCTCTCACGACCGGCATTGTCCTGCCTGCCCTCTTTAACCTTGTGTTAAGTCTCTGAGATTCTTCACGAGGTTTAAATTCTACGGATTATTTAATCATTTTTTTTTTAAAGCTTGAGCATCATGTCAAGTTATTCTAATCCTGTTTTTTTTCTACAATTTTTGTTTATTGCTTGCGTGGGATGAAAAGTCATTTAATTGTAGAACGTTTACTGTATTTTTTTCATAGTACAATAATTTGTATAATAATTTCAGCACTTACCTAATAATCATAGCTCAAATCGACCTTGTTGTTTTGTAACGTAGGTTACTACTCTACACATGGTTAATATGGAGATATTGAATTGTGGATGGCATACGGTATTAGCGAGCTCGTTAGGTTATATTATGATTTTATCTTCAACTTCCATTACAACAGGGCGTTTATTGAGCACGCTGTTTCATAATACTGTGTCGTTTGGTTAACCATACACCACATGGTGTGCTTGCATCTTAAACACACTGTCAATGTGCTCAAATATCTAGACAAAGCTCTACTTAACCATAAACCATATGGTGTACTTGTCTCTTGAACACACTGTCAATGTTTCTGTTGTGTTCAAATATCTAGACAAAAGCTCTACTTAACCATACACCACATGGTGTACTTGTCTCTTGAACACCCTGTCAATGTGTTCAAATATCTAGACAAAAGCTCTACTTAACCATACACCACATGGTGTACTTGTCTCTTGAACACACTGTCAATGTTTCTGTTGTGTTCAAATATCTAGACAAAAGCTCTAGTTATATAGACCATCCCCTTTCTTCTCAGCCGTGACGTATTTTTGTTTTATTTACAGGTGCTTGTAGTAAGGTGTGACAGTGGTGTGCTACCTCCCATGTGATGAACTAAAGGTAAGCTTGTTGGGTGGGTTCTTGTTCATACTTTTCGGGCATGCATTTGACAATATATACATATATATATATATATATATATATATATATATATATATATATATATATATATATATATATATATATATATATATATCTATGTATATATATATCTATCTATATATATATGGACTAACATCTTCTAGTTCACCAAGTTAGCATCAAATGTGGGATTTTATCTTTCTCAAAGAAGCGTTTTTATCTTAAGAACATGATGACAATTTATTATGGCCTATTCAACATCTCACTGAAGTGGTAATCTGGTGAGTTCTTTGTGCTCACTGTGTGACCGCAGGTGTCCATTTTGGTCTTTTAAATTCAGCAATTGTCCGAAATGTTGATCTGGTGAGTTCTTTGTGCCGTGTCTCAGACCGCTAGACCAGAGTCCATTTTGGTCTTGTAAATTTATCAATTGTCCGAAATGTTGATCTGGTGAGTTCTTTTTGCCGTGTCTCTGGCCGCTAGTCCAGTGTCCATTTTGGTCTTGTAAATTTAGCAATTGTCCGAAATGTTGATCTGGTGTATTCTTTGTACCGTGTCTATGACCGCTAGTCCAGTGTCCATTTTGGTGATACAGTACATTCAGCAGCTGGCCGTGTCTCGAACTGTGATGTCATCTGTCAGAGCAACCTACTACGGACCAGCCTATTTTATTAGGCTAATATGACGCTCGTATTGTTAGCAGTTGATTACCCTCTCTTATATTGTTAGCTTAAATGGCGGCCATGTTAGAGTTAACTTACTTAACCCTCCATAAATATGTTAGCTGAATATGGCGGCCGTTAATGTCAACTTCCTCAACACTTAAAAATCCTGTACTATCTTACGCAGATTGTAAAATTTCCCAAAGTTCCACTGTCATCTTTTAACCCTTTCTCCTTTAGTGTTACCTTACTTAACCCTCCATAAGTATGTTAACCGTATATGGCGGCCGTTAATCGTAACTTCCTCAACACTTTAAAACCCAGCACCATCTTACGCAGGTTGTAAAATTTCCCACAGTTCCATCGTAATCTTTTAACCCTTTCTCCTTCAGTTTAACTCTAGTTAAAATTCACCCTATCTCACGTCGAAATTACCCTAAATCCCTACACTTAAAACCTGCTATAAACCTCATAAACCTGCGTGACAATCCTCCAAACTATCGAATCTTCACTACAGTCCTACTGACTTGCTTAACCGACGCCGGTGTTAACGATATCAATTATTTCTCAGAGCATTCTACAACACGAAATGACACGATTAATAGATAACCCCGCCTCCTAGAACCCCTTACACAATCATGGCAATTAGCAAGTCGGGGAAATGAAAAAGAGGGTGATAAAAAATAAATTATAAATCTAACGTCTTTACCTTAGTGAGTATACGGGCGTCTTTGAAATGGTGGCGACTGGTTAGAAGATGACAGATTTAAAAAATCCGACATTATCTTAAATTATAATCTGCGTGTGGGGTGGTAAGGAGACTTGGAGATGTAGGTGTTTAGAGATGGGACTAGCATCTCATCAAAGTCTATTCAATTTCGTTGTTGCTTTGCCTTGATTTAACAACGATTTTGGTGAAAACAAAGCTAAATACTAATTTGTTGTTGGATAGGGTCGATGGTTTTAAAGGTCGGGATACACGGAAATGCTTCTTGTTGCTTGGTTTTGTACTGAAGTATTTAATAGTCGTGTTGTACTGAGGTATTATGTAGTTAATAACTTAGTCGTGATGTTTGTAGAGGTTGTTCTGTGTCGTGATGTTGTAGAGTTGTACTGTGTATACTGTTTTGAAGACAATTCAAACTGAGACACACCTCATTGAATATATCCGTCTAAATACCGTTGGCTACCAAAGGTATCAATCAGAAAAAAAATTGTATGTATCAGCTTTGAGATGTTTGTAGCTATATGACAGCGTAAAGAGCTCATACAAATGGAAACTTAACCGACTTATTATTAATTCGGTTACTTTACACCAAGACTTGGCGTAGGCTGTGGCCTCAGAAAACATTAGAGAACAGTTTTGGTTGAAATGCTGACTTGGTTTTTTAATAGCTTCCAGTTTTACATTTGAGAACGAAGACGAAGTAATAGTTTGGACGAACAATCATAACTTTGCTGCGTTTGATACGGAGCTGACAAGCATTGGACCTAAGTGAAGTGTATCTCAATATCTGCCCACTCCCACCTCATTTTAGTTCTAGTTCACGCCTTTACATTTATTGTTAGCCGTCAACCCACCACGATGTGGAACTAGAGGCATATGCCTTCAGTGTTTCTTCCAGACTTTTTTCTCCGGGGGGGGGGGGGGGGGGCACTCGAAATTTTCGGGGGGGGGGGGGGCGGTAGACTTTCTTCGGGGGGCGGAAACTGTTAAAAGTATATATATTTTCTATATAAATTATATACATTTCATTTTGTTCGGGGAGGGGGGGGGGGCGGTAGAATATTTTTGGGGGGGGGGGGGGGGGGGGGCGAAGCGATGCCTGGAAGAAACTCTGTATGCCTTTCAGATACACAACTTGGTCTATTGGGCAGTGGTGGTCGATCACATCTTTTTTACTCTGTTCTCAGCGCAAGGAAGAAATGGTGATTCCACCCCCACCCCCACACCTCTGCTAATTGACTAGACCGAATGGACACATATAAGTCACTCTATCTATAGGATACCTGGGAGCTTTACCTTGGCAGCCTTTACACGTCGTCAAGCATATCGATACTTTCAAGTATCGTTATGTAAGTACTACTACCAGTGTTACGTTAGTTACATATAGATCGATACGCTTGGTGAACGATGCCAGCCTGCATGCCCTGTGACGGAAAAGGACTTGAATTTTTCAACTTGCTTAAAATGCTATGTCTAATTATCCCAAAATGTCAGGGCAATAATAAAGAAAAAAAAATGTTTTGTTAAACTTTTTAATCGAAATCCCCCTCCTCCGGTCTTTACCTCTCTCCCCGCCCCCTCCAAGACACACAACTTGCTTCCTTGTATTTTTAATTTGCACCACCCATCCCCTCTATCCCACGGGGAAAAAAAATGAACAGCGAGTAAAGATTTTAACTTTTGAACTTTAAACCAAACCACGTCACAAATTGCGGAGGGGGAGAGAAAGAGGGGGTTGGGGGGTTTATTGAGCGCGGATCATTCTAGAACCAAACCCCCAGACTTGCCTCAGAAGTCCCCCGTCTACTTGACTTACTCGCCATCACGCGTGTAACATTTAGGGGATAAGCACTAAGACGCTTAAACTCTACTTGGTTTTAATGTGCGCCGTCTAACCCGGAGACTATAATTGGTGCCACTGTCTGATTATAATGCCAGCAAATAAATAGCTGTAACTTTTTTACTTCTCGCTACCAATTAGAAGTAGACCGACGGTGATGCGATTTCGCTTCGATAAGTGGGGTTGACTTTGTAATGATAAGCTGCGGAGGCGTATTTTTTTTTACTGAAGTTGAGTACAAGAAAGGGCACCGTCAATGATGAGCGACGTGCAGTGTAGATCATGAAGCAGAAGCGTTTAACGCGTGAATTGCGAACAAGGTCATTTTGAATGTCTAATAAGGTCTTCGTGAAATACGAACAAGGTCATCGTGAAATTCGAACAAGGTCACCATGAAACTCAAACTAGGGTAACTTGTAACTTGAATAAGTCGTTATGAAACTCAAACAAGGGTTACTTGTAACTTGAATAAGTCGTTATGAAACTCAAACAAGGGTTACTTGTAACTTGAATAAGTCGCCATGAGTACCGGAACAACAAATTAGTATTTAGCTTTGTTTTCACCCAAAATCGTTGTTAAATCAATGCAAAGCAACAACGAAATTGAATAGACTTTGATGAGATGCTAGTCCCAGAATGGTGAGCTGATGCTCTGTGAAATGTGTAAAAGGTAAAGTAAAAAACTATGGAGGTATGAAGCAGAGCACTGTGAAACATAGCGTGATACACATGTACGGGAACTGCGGAGCACCTATAAGGACATCATAAAACATATAAAAGGACATGGAAGCATGAACAAAAGGCCCCAAAAGTCAAAGAATAGAAAAATTGCAGCATTATAGGTACTACGACAATGCAACATGAGTTTGTACATGTGTAGAAATAGACGGCTTTAAAAAAAAAAAATTAACTTTTAAGATAAGCCGGATTAAATCTTTCCTAGCATGGTTACGGCGTCCACCTGCAAAAGTGGGCATATTCAGCCCGTCTAGATTAGCCGTAATTCTTATTATGTAGACCTTGTCCTTCTGGATGAGTGGACATGTTCAAGGAAATTTGACTGCGCATAGTTCCGACCTATCGTGTACTAAATATTGTGATCGCTATATTTATGTAGCATGTTTCACCTGCCATGTAAACCTTACCGTAGTCCCCCAGCCGCTGACAGTAAAGCATTCAATAAAAAAACATAGCAGATTGGAAGTGAGCGCTACTTTTAAACAACAGTAAACATCGAGCGGGGAGTCAAGAGGAAGGTTAACTGTAAACCCCGCGCATTGATTCAACTTTCAAATGCTAACATCCGTCTCGTACTTGCGTTTATAGCATTTTAATGTTCGCAATTGAATCGAAATTGATTTCAACTTTCTTTTAAAATGAAGTTATTGCTATAAAGTGGATCGATTTTTCGCTTGTGTGACCTTTACACAAATAGCGTAGATGTTTTTACCGAAGGTTGAAATTGTTCTGTTCCCTCCCCCTCTCGATCTACCTCCCCCATCTACCACCATTACCCCCTTGTTTGCCGATGATGTGGATGCTGGTTACGTCATTGAGGTGGTTATCGTTCTTGACTTAGCTATCTCCGGGGTCGAACGTCAGACATACACTTTGTAAAGTAATCCATGTCCACTCTACTCTAGACCTCTGTCCAGTCACTACTTTAGGATATCACATTATCAGCTTTGGTCCTAATTGTATTGTTTATTTTATGGTATTTATCCCGTGAACTTGATGAAATTCCTGTTGA